CTCGAGGGAAGACGCCGGCAAAGGGAAACAGAAAAAGAAAAAAAAAACGATGGCAATTGGGACTTTTTTTGGCTGTGGACGATGGCAGATGAGGGAGAGAATTGAGAAACTGTGGACAATTGAAACGGTGGGGAAAATAATTGTGGAGATGGTTTTGGTCACACCTCTTTATTCCTTATTAATTGGAGTCAGTTATGGTCATCCCACGTTTTTCCATATTTAAAGATAATTATGTTTAAACTAACATTAAAGTATTTATGTAAATAAAATTGTATGATTTTAGTGATTTTGCAAATAAAAATATATGAACAGTAAAGTTAAAATAAAAATGGTATGGTGTAGTGCACAAGGTAATTTCCTCTAACAAAAATTCAAAAGAACAATAAAAAGAAAATGAAGCCCAAAATTAAGAGAAACTAATAAGCCCACAAAACAAAATAAGGGTTTTGTTCTACACTCATTGTGCTGGACGGACTTCCACAGATCGACGGACATATCAAAAGGCAAACTTGAATCTTGAAAATACTGAAGGGTGACTGAAACACAAAAGCTTGAGTTTGTAGGGAGAAATGATCAACGACTTCATCTGCTGCACTGATACTCTGTCAACGTGCGAGAAGAGAGAAAAGAAGGCACTTTCGTCGGTGATTTTCGGTGGCACCAAATTTGTGGTAAAAGGAAAATTGACATAGAAGATTTCTTGAGGTGAAGAAAAAAAAGAAGAGAATATGAGTATAAAATTTCTTGAGATGTGAAAAAAAATATCGGGGATAAAAAAAATATTTGAAACTAAATTTGTAGCAGGCTATAAGCTAATGAAAGTTTTGAATTAGGTTTAAAAAATTTTGGATGGCGCTTGTTCGTAAGTTGGGAGAAATGAAATTTTCATTTAACCATGGTTGGTAATTGCTTCATGTTGCTACCTTTTTTTATCAGAAAAAAAAAAACAAAATAATAAAAAACATAATAGAACCACATGTGCATTTAACCGGTGAGGGCAGTGCTCTCACTGGTAGCATCGAATTTGCCAGAACCACCATCGATCACACCGCACACTCAATGCTGACGAATTGAGAAAATTATGAGAGAAACCTCTGTTTTATGTTTAACAAATAAAGAGATGTATCCTTGTATGGACGATTAGAGCCTTCGGCTCGTTGTTTGTCATATTTCCGAATTGGATTTCTCTTAACCCCCAACTGCCTCTTTAAACATGAGAGAAAGCTTTCTCCTTTTCTTTTCTGAATAAAGATTTTCTTGAGTTGCATAATAAATGGTAATTTGACGGCAAATAAGTTCTTGTCAGTTTTGGTTCAGGAACTGATGTTGTGAGTCGAAAATTGGCATCTTTTTCTTGCTACTCATCTTCTTGCTACTCAATGCATCCAGCTTATTTCTACTGACCTTATAGAAACAAATCTGCATTGCTAGTAGTCAAAAGAGAGATGGAATTTTTTTGGGATTGGATTTTAACTAATCTTGCTGACTTATAAAGGTTTCGAATTTTACATTTGCCATTTTGTTGCATTCAATGAATGCTTTTTTGCACCAGAAAAATAGAAAGACAATTGTATTGACTAGGTAGGAGATAGAAATAGAATATCAAGAAAGGCAATATGTATGTGGAGTGAATTCGTATTAGATTGTGTACTTAGTACAGTTGGGCTTTTCATGGTTTCCAACTTCCAGTCAACTTTTTTTATGCAGAGTTGCAGTCTGCCTCCCAGGATGCTAAGTAGGCAAAGCTATATGTAGATTTAGGAAAGAAGTTTTATCCGTGTAAGTGAGTTGTTCCGACTTTTTTTTGCGATATTATATAATGTAAATAATGACATATATGCTATCTTTTAGTTGGAGAAGGTTATGGAGAATAAAAACTGTTTGCTTCAGAAACTCATACAAAACCAGTCGAGGCAAGGTGGCATTTTCTATCAATGAAAAGTGAAATGTGGAATTTGTAGCAACTTATGTTGTCAAATTCTTGTGCTATATTGGTCTCTTCTTATTTGCCGTGTATTCTAATTGTTAATGTAATAATAGTTATTTTCAAGATTATCCAATCCCACTGAAGCCGTATTGGCTTCAACATGTAAATCAATTCATAATGATTTTGCAAGGTCAAGCCTAGTTTTAAAATTTACTTATGGTCATGATGTTATTTTACGAGTATCTCAGGGTTAAGAAATACTATGGCCGGAAAATGGCGGATTCTGGTTCGATTATGTTAAAGTTTAGATGTGCTCGTGTTGTCAATATAAATGCTAAAAATTTCATTGACCTCTTGATTGATGAAGATGATACGGAAGAAGATTCAGAAAGGTATGCATGAAAGTGAATTTTTTAGTTTTATGTCATGTCATTTGTGATTCCAATGAGCCATAAGCCTTTAAGTCATGCACTGGCTTGGCTTCTGATTTTTTTCTTTTCATTGTTATTATAATTTTTCTCTACCCCAAAAGAGAAAAACCAAGGAAGACAGAAATGGAAGTTTAATATTTCCCAATACAAGCATACCTTTTATAAATATCATCTTCGTGTTATACATCCAAAATGAACTCAAAGGAGCATAAAACTATAGAAATCACTCTTTATTTTTAGGTAGTACCCTTAAGACGTTATTCTGTATGGCTATATATAACATCATGTTGTATATAATCATTTCAGTATGTATCATCTGCATCAAATTTAGGGGTAATGCTACAATCCCGTTACGGAACCATTCCGTTGGGATTTATAACCGTTAGATCAACTATCATTGACGGTTACTTGATGATCTAACGGTTACAATCCCAACGGAATGGTTCCGTAACTGGATTGTNAATTCATGTCTTTGGGATCCAGCAGCCATGCAGTCCATATGGAAGGCCATAAGGGAACTTAGCTCTTGCAATTTCTTCAAACGAGTGTCCATCAAGTAACAATGCATATCCTTCTCCATTTTTGCCACTTACTATTGATATTATCACTCCTGTGCACGATTTTATCGCATGGGACACATATAGTCAGTACAAGTTATTTTCCGGGTTAATTTTGATTAAAGTTCCCCTGATGTTTCATCTAATTAGGAAAAATCTTGGGGTACAATAAATTTTTATAGATTATTTATTTAATTAAATGCAAATTGAGTGGGTTTTACTTTTCCTTTTTGTTTTCTATTTATATCTTATATCATATTTGTGGCTTACCATCATCCTCCTCTGTTGCACTCGGACGAGGCACAAAGATGGGTTCGGAGGGTATGGATCCGTTTTCCACCCAGCTCTTGGCTTTCTTCTTGATCAAGTCAACCTGCAAAAAAAAAAAAAAAATCTAATTGGCTTTCTTTGAGGTCATGTGTTATAAGAACTGCTAAGAAAGTGATGTGTAGTGAATGTATATACCTTAGTAAGGGTGTTGGGGAAATTACAAGGCCTCTTAGCACCAGTGGCATAAGCATATCTGTATTTTTGGCCTAGAAAATTAGGGTTTATGCTGCACATATCAAGCCCTTTTCCATGTTCATTTGGGTCCAATGCGGCTTCTAAACTCCCATATGGCTTCCCGTCCAATGGAATCTTGAATCTCCCAACCCTGTATTTTATGATGGTGATTGATTATTTAGGGTATGATATAAAAAAGTTCCACTTAGGGTGTATTCAATTGAGATTTCTAAGGACTTTTTAAAACTTTAGAAATCCTGAGATATTCAATTTAGATTTGTTAAGACATTTAAGACTTTTAAAAATCTTGGGGTATTCAATTGAGATTTTAAAAAAGTCTTACAAAATCCTGATGTATTTAACTTATTTGAGATTAAGATTTGTTAAGACTTTTTAAGATTTTGTGGGATTTCTAAACAAAAAAAACCTTATACCAAATTCTACTTCAAATCCCACCTCCAGACTTAGGGGGTTGTATTCGTTTGGGATTTCGAGTGACATTTAAGACTTTGAGATTTGAGATTTTCTAATATTTTCATATTTTAGAAGAATCCTGTGAAATCTTACGTTTGTAGGTGGGATTTGGAGTGAAATTTTGTATATGTTTTTTCTTTGGAAATCACAGCAAATCTTAAAAAGTCTTAACAAATTCTAGTTTCAAATAAGGTAAATTCCTCAGAATTTTGTAAGACTTTAAAATCCCAATTGAATACCTGAGAACTTTTAAAAGTCTTGAGAAATCTAAATTAAGACACCAAATTTCTAGAGTCTTTAGGAATCCTAATTAAATACACCCTCCTTAAGATTTCACATAATTCCTCTAAAATCTGAAAATCTTTAAAAATCTCAAATTTTAAAAAGTCTCAAAATGTCACTTAAAATCTCAATTGAAAATACAACCCCTGGTGTTGACATTTGTAATTTCTTTTCTCTTTTACTAACTTTCACTCTGAAAAACAATAAGAAAAAGAACTAGTGTTTAAAGTGTGAAAAGCGTATGCTGTTAGGAAATATTTAATTTCCTATGTATAATCTAATTATGGGCAACATATTATATACAATTATATTAGCTATTCAGTTAATTAATGGACTCAATTAAGTTATCTAAATAAAGTAGAGTCCATGGACTACGTAAATTGATATGGGCTGATGGGGTGGATACATAATATTACTAGAGTTAGGTGATAATGGGTGGCCTACCCTAGTAGTATATAAAGACCGTCTTGGTTATGGTCCCCAATATACTAAATCAAACATAGTTCTCTTTTCTCCCTATCGGAATTGAAGATGACGGTCCCATATGAGGAATAAGGCGATTTAGTTGAGGAAGGCCATAAAACCGACCCTGTTCGTGATCAAGGATGTGTTCATGATCCAAATCATGTTCTATGGTGATCGGATCCATAAATACACTTAAGGTACGCTTCTGTTGTCTAGCTTGATTCTCGATTATTTGATATGAATGCTCCTGGGATAAAGCGATGGTCTTCGCATAAGGTTAATTCCAACTAGTGGTATCAGAGCCCCTTCATATTGAATTTTAGGGAATCAAATTTTAATCCATATGACTTGGTATACTGTGTGATTTTTTTGGTTCATACTGCCGTGATGTTATGCAAAATTAATTGCTCTGAATTCATGAAATTTGGAAACGAGATTGTTCGGATTTTATTCCAACAGATTATGTGGGTTCAGTCAATTAATTTAAATTGCATGTTAATGTCCTTGGGATTGTTTGATTGCTGTTTCGGATTTGCATATGGATTCTATTCGGATTTATTTCCTAACCTTGCATTAAATGCGTGTGTTGATTAAATGCATGTGTTGATTAATCCAAACTGACACATGGCCGAATTACATACATACTTGTGATAATAAATCTGTGACAATTATAAGGTTTTCATGTGAACAATAATTATGTCCAAAGATAGTTTTATTATTTGACATAAATTATTGTCAAGATGTGATTATTACAACTAGAGTACCGCTTACAATTAATATTCTTATCCAAAGATTTGTTATTAATGTTGTGCTTGGTATCTTGCTATGGGTTTAAATCATGTTTGGTTCAATTGATTGACTAAATATAATAATGTGAGTACTTGTATTTATTATTCTCTTCCGGTTCTTCGTCTATGGTTTTAATTCTAAGTAATTTTTTGTGAGCATAAATAATGATCTTGTTACTTGTATGCTATCTGGATCTATGGAGTTATCTATCTAAAGGTTTTGATTTAAGTTAATATATTTATTTATGAGGTTTAATCAACATAAAAGACTAAGTTTTATGGCCTTTCACTAAAGAAGATGAAATAAAGTTGTGGATCTTTATTTTGTCTTATTTTGTTATATTGATTTTAGGTTAAATTGTGAGTATATTTGAGCTTAGGTTGATATTTGGTTTTCGTCCAGCTAGGCTCAAATAACAAAATTTGTTTCTAGCTTAAAATCTTGTTATTTGATCTTTGTTCTATGTTTTGTGGACTTAATTCACATTCGGTAAAGTAAAGCCTAATTTGGTTATACTAGTCTTTGTCCGTATAAAGTTGGATTTAAAGTCATTTGGTTTTATGGACTTTAAACTCAAATAAAGCTAATGGACACAAGTTCATATAAAGTTAATTTTTTGGCTCAAATTAGAAGTTAGATTTTGAGATTATCTTTTTCTTGGTATCTCAAAATATTTATAAGGTCTTGGTTTTGAGTTTAACTTTGTGGTGACTCATAATGTGTAACCGAAATGCGGGGCTATATATTCGGATAGGATTTGTATTGAAAATTTTCACATATAATCCATAAGGACTCTTTGAGTCAATTATGAGAAACATATTAAGCATTTTCATGACTTATGTGTTTAATTTGGTTTAGGCTTAAATTCCAGAACAATGTAATGTTGAGTTAAATATGCGTGAATAGTTTTTTTTTTTAAAGCAACCAAGTTTTTATGTGGTAAAAGAGATATGAAACTAACTCAATTTTGTTAAGGTTGTGGTAAAAAGAAATATGATTGACCACCCTTCTTTGCCATTACTGTGAGAAGCAATGTGTTTGATTATTAATAGAGTTTGTGAATGGAGTAAAACTCACTTCCCTTATTGATTTTCAACTTTCTTGGGCTTGTCCAACTAAGGTAAGACTTTTATGTCTATAAGTAAATTTGGACTAAAGATTGTGGGTAACTACTTGTTCAAAATTCTATAAGGCTTTTTAATAATGAATTTAAAGTTAATTTGAGGAAGTTGAGCTTGAGTGGGAGATAAGGTTATAAAGCATTATTTTGGAATGCAAATATGGTCCCAAAATGCAAGCTCAACCAAGCATTATTTTGGAATGCAAATATGGTCCCAAAATGCAAGCTCAACCACCTCAAATAAATATACATGGAGTTTTGATGAAATTATGTATGAATTGACACATTGAGGTCTTGTCAAATTGTTTAAAAGTCTGAGTCTCATTGGTCATAAATGTGGCTTAATGGATTCAAAAGACAATAATGAGAGACATAAGGTATGTCTAGTCAACACAAGTTTCATCTAAATAAGGACTTTGGTTACAAGAGGCTTTCTCTTTTGGTTTTGATGAGAAACTCTTCGTAATCTATGTCATTTTGAAGCATTTTGATATAAAGTTAACTCCCTCTATGACATTACAATTATATTAAGTCATTATCTCATTTTTATCGAGATAAATAAAGTTAACAATTGTATATACTATAGATTGAGTGGGAGATACTCTAAGGACAATTAAGTTTAATCTCATTCATTGTCCCAAGAATGAGTATAAAGATTTGAATACACAAAAGATATGAACACGTAACGATGAATTTATGCTAGCAAATTCATAACTCCATTATAAGGTATACTAAGGTATTAACACTTTAAGTATTCTATGAGTATACCGCTCATATAAGTGTTACTATGGATATTGCCTTAGTTCAGTGGGAGTTAGTGTTCAATGATTCTTGAATGTTATAACTTCAGTTTTCTGCAGAATGAAGTTGATGGTTATGATTCGTTATGAAGGACTAAGGTTTTCTATTTTTGTGACTTTGTGTTGCATTGATGGATTGATCTCACTAAGGATTTAAAGTTGGACCAGTTGGAAATAGACATGATAAAGATCACATTGCATGTAATTTTCATGCCACTCACCATATTTGATCTATGTCATTGAGTGTACTGGTATGGTGATTTTCAGGATTTAACAACGATTTGTAATGTGGTGAAACTCGCGGTAGTTCCATTGCTAGTATATGAGATGGACCAGATTGTTTAAGGTAGTCTGGAGATGAATAGCATAAAGTTGCGCAACCAAAAGAATTAATATAATTACTCTGGAAATAATATGTAGCCCTAGTGGGTGATTGTTAGGAAATATTTAATTTCCTATGTATAATCTAATTAAGGGGAACATATTATATACAATTATATTAGCTATTCAATTAATTAATGGACTCAATTAAGTGATCTAAATAAAGTAGAGTCCATGAACTACGTAAATTGATATGAGCTGATTGGGTGGATACATAATATTACTAGGGTTAGGTGATAATAGGTGGCCCACCCTAATAGTATATAAAGACCGTCTTGGTTATGGCCCCCAATATACTAAATTAAACATAGTTATCTTTTCTCCCCATCGGAATTGAGGATGACAGTCCCTTATGAGGAATAAGGCGATTTAATTGAGGAAGGCTATAAAACCGACCCCGTTCGTGATCAAGGATGTGTTCATGATCCAAATCATATTCTATGGTGATCGGATCCATAAATACACTTAAGGTACGCTTCCATTGTCTAATTTGATTCTCGATTATTTGATATGAATGCTACTGAGATAAAGCGATGGTCTTCGCATAAGGTTAATTCCAACACATGCATGCAGAAAGCCGCAGTGTTAGAGATGCGTTTGAACTCTTGCTTCCATTTTGTGGCGACACCAACAAAAAGAAGTGCCGTTGGTTAATAAAGAGTATAATTATATATTGAATGAGTGTGGGCCCCTGGTTAACAAATCTTGGTACACAAATTTAATTTAATTATTAAAGTGCGTATTAGTGGACAAAACAGAGCTTTTCCACAGTAAAACCATCAGCCATTTGCCGGCCATATAGGATCAGGAACACCTCGGCTGATCATTATTATCTTTAAATTACGGCCAATATTTGAATAAGGAAATGAAGAAAAAAGGACAAAAAACTAAAGTATGTGCTTCAACCTGTTATATAGCACAGTAATTAGATGAGGACTGTATGCTTTAAAACTTGTACCTTGCATCTGGTAGGACATCTTTGCCCGCCAAAGAACGGAGGTTGTGAAGGGTGAGTTTCTGCAAGATGGATGTGTCGGCATTGTGCTCACAGCAATCGGCAATAACGGCCGTCACCTTTCCATCTTCATCTTTCTCCTCGTATGCATTAATAAAATGGAACGTCACGTACAAAGGAACTTCCACGCTCGCCACCTAATTCAAATCACAAAAAACAAAAT